GTATTTTTCATGATATGTTGATTTGAGGTTAATGATTCATAATAGAGAACGAGATAGATTTCAGAGTCCAAGTCAGGAAATCTGTAGGATTTGGAGCAAACTGCAAAATCATTTCAAAGACAGTGGGTATCTGTAAGGATGTATCTAAACTTGAGTATTTTCCATTAATTTTAGGATTGGGTTATTATTATCATCAAGGTTACTCTTCGGGTTGTGACCAGGATTAGAGTTAGGATTAGGGAAATTAAAGATTGAGAACTTGAGTGACTTACTTCCCTTGTGTATGTATTGCACTGTGCTAAGGCTTGAACTCAAGGCTTGGGTTCTGTTCCTCAGCTTTTTGCTGTAGGCTTCCAGCTTTCTTTGGTAGTAAATTGGAGATGAGAATCTCACAGACTTTTGTATCTAAGCTGACATTGAAGTGAGATCCCCAGATCCCTGCCTTCTGATTAAAGTTAAGATTAAAGGCATGAGCTACCAGTGCCCAAAAAAGTGATTGACTTTTATTGACTGTTTTTACTTATGTTTGAGATTAAGACTTGAATTCACTCATTTTTCAAGGAAATAGATGAGGCAATCCAAAAATTCTTATGGAACAATAAAAGACCCCAAATGGCAAAAACGATTCTCAACAGAAAGAACACTGCTGGAGGAATATCAATAAAAAAAATTCAAACTCTACTATAAAGCCATAGTAATCAAAACAGCTTGGTACTGGCACAAGAACAGACCTCAGGAAGAATGGAATAGAATTGAAAACCCAGAAATGAACCTACAGACCTCTAGCCATTTAATCTTTGATAAGGGAGCTAAAAAAATAGAATGGAAGAAAGACAGCCTCTTCAGAGACAGGAAGACAGACAGACAGACAGAACAGACCAACAGAGATAGACACAGGCACAGAGAGACAGACAGACAGACAGAGACAAGAGACAGACAGGGACAGACAGACTGAGACAGAAGAGACACCAAGACAGATAGACAGAGACAGATGGACAGACAGAAACAAAAGACACACAGAGACAGACTGAGACAGAAGAGATCCAGACAGACAGATGTACACACACAGACGGACAGGAAGAGAGTCAGACAGAGACAGAGACAAGAGACAGATGGACAAAGACAGACAGACATGAGACTGGTAGACAGACACAGGGAGAGACAGAGATAACAGACAGACAGACGTCAACACAGACAGACAGAGACAAAAGACAGAGACAAACAGAGATGTGGAGACAGACAGACGTCAACACAGACAGTGATGGAACAGACAGACAGACAAGATCGATGGACAGACAAGAGACAGAGATAGAGAAACCCAGACAGACAGATGGAGACACAGAGACAGACAGGGAAAGACAGAACAGACAGACAGAGAGACATGAGACCAGAGACATGAGACCAATGGACAGATAACAGACAGAGACAGAGAGACACAGACAGAGACAGACAGACAGACAGAGACACAGAGACAGGGAGAGACTGACAGAGGTAGATGGACAGAGACAGGCAGATGTCAACACAGACAGAACAGACAGACAGAGATAAGAGACAGAGACAGACACAGAGACAGACAGAGACACAGACAGACAGACACAGACAGACAGACAGACAGGGACACAGACAGACAGACAGAGATAAGAGACAGACAGAGGGAGACAGACATAAGAGACAGACACAGACAGACACAGAGGCAGACAGGGAGAGACAGACCAGACAGACAGACATGAGACCAATGGACAGATAACAGACAGAGACAGAGAGGCAGACAGACAGACAGATAAGAGACAGACAGACAGATGTCAACACAGAGACAGACAGACAGGGAGACAGACAGAAAGCTAAAGACAGAGAGATAGACATGGAGAGACAGATGGACAGAGACAGACAGACAGAGCAGGCCTTCCTGGTCTCTTTTTCCTTGTGTCTCTCGACTTCCTGATCATATTCCTGTTGGTTGGTGTTTTCCTTCTTCCTCTTCTGTCTCCTCTTCCTCTTCCATCTTCTCTTCCATCTCCTCTTCTTCTTCCATTTCCTCTTCCTCTTCCATCTCCTCTTCCGTCTCCTCTTCCGTCTCCTCTTCCCTCTTCTCTTCCTCTTCCGTCTCCTCTTCCATCTCCTCTTCCATCTCCTCTTCCTCTTCCATCTCCTCTTCCTCTCCTCTTCCTCTTCCATCTCCTCTTCCTCTCCTCTTCCTCTTCCATCTCCTCTTCCTCTCCTCTTCCTCTTCCGTCTCCTCTTCGATCTCCTCTTCCTCTTCCATCTCCTCTTCCTCGCCTCTTCCTCTTCCGTCTCCTCTTCCATCTCCTCTTCCTCTTCTGTCTCCTCTTCCTCTTCCGTCTCCCCTTCTGTCTCCTCTTCCTCTTCCATCTCCTCTTCCGTCTCCTCTTCCGTCTCCTCTTCCATCTCCTCTTCCATCTCCTTTTCCTCTTCCATCTCCTCTTCTGTGTCCTCTTCCATGTCCTCTTCCTCTTCCATCTCCTCTCCGGTCTCCTCTTCCATCTCCTCTTCCTCTTCCATCTCCTTTTCCTCTTCCATCTCCTCTTCCTTCTCCTCTTCCATCTCCTTTTCCATCTCCTCTTCCTCTTCCATCTCCTCTTCCATCTCTTCCGTCTCCTCTTCCATCTCCTCTTCCATCTCTTCCGTCTCCTCTTCCATCTCCTCTTCCATCTCTTCCGTCTCCTCTTCCATCTCCTCTTCCTCTCCTGTCTCCTCTTCCATCTCCTCTTCCGTCTCCTCTTCCGTCTCCTCTTCCTCTCCTCTTCCTCTCCCGTCTCCTCTTCCGTCTCCTCTTCTGTCTCCTCTTCCTCTTCCGTCTCCTCTTCCTTTTCCATCTCCTCTTCCGTCTCCTCTTCCGTCTCCTCTTCTATCTCCTCTTCTGTCTCCTCTTCCATCTCCTCTTCCTCTTCCATCTCCTTTTCCTCTTCCATCTCCTCTTCTGTCTCCTCTTCCGTCTCCTCTTCCTCTTCCATCTCCTCTTCCATCTCCTCTTCCTCTTCCATCTCCTCTTCCTCTTCCCCTTCCTCTTCCTCGTGTCCATGTCCTTCTTCCTCTTCCTGTTCTTCTGATACATCTCCTTCCTCTTCCCATTCTCCTTCCTCTTCCTCCCCGTTGTCTCCCTGACCCCCACAGGTCGCCTCACATCCTTGAATCTACATCCCCTGGCCTCCAACTTCCAGCCTCCATCCCTGGCCTCCATCCTTGGGCCTCCACCCCCTTGGGCCTCCACTCCTGGCCTCCATCCCCAGCCTCCACCCCATTTGGCCTACTTTCCTCTATCCACAGGGCCTCCATCCCTAGCCTCCACCCTCCTGGGCCTCCTTCCCTGGGCCTCCAACTTCCAGTCTCCATCCCCAGCCTCCACCCCATTAGGCCTCCATCCCCAGCCTCCAATACCTCTGGGCCTCCTTCTCTGGCCTCCAACTTCCAGTCTCCATCCTCAGCCTCTACCTCTGGCCTCCACCTTCCTGGACCTCCATCCCCAGCCTCCATACCTGGCCTCTAACCCCTAGGCCCCCATCCCTGGACCTCCACTTCCCTTAGGCCTCCATCCCTGGGCCTCCACCCCCTGGGCCTCCAACTTCCAGTCTCCTTCCTCAGCCTCCACCCCTATCCTCCACCCTGTTGGACCTCCATCCCCAGTCTCCACCCTGGCCTCTAATCCCTAGGCCTCCTTCCCTGGGCTTCCAACTTCCAGCCTCCATTTCCCTGGGCCTCCACCCCTGGGCCTCCATCCCCAGCCTCCCCCCCTCCATCCCAGCCTCAGGATGGGGGGCCCCCGCCCCTGGGCCTCGCTGCTGCTGCTGCTGCTCCTGTGTGGCCCCCACCCAGCCCCCGCCACCCGCTGCCCCAGGACCTGCGCCTGCTACGGCCCCACCGAGCTCCACTGCACCTTCTGCAGCCTCAGGGCCGTGCCCCACGTGCTGGACCCCAAGATGGAGCGTGTGAACCTGGGGTGAGGCCTGGGGGGAGAAAGGGGGGAAGGAAGGGAAGGAAGAGGAAGGAAGGAAGGAAGGAAAGAAGGAGGGAAGGAGGGAAGGAGGGAAAGAAGGAAGGAGAGAAGGAGGGAAGGAAGGAGGATGGAGGGAAGGAAGGGAGAATAGAAGGAAGGAAGGAAGGAGGGAAGGAAAGAAGGAAGGAAGGAGGGAAGGAAAGAAGGAAGGAAGGAGGGAAGGAAGGAGGGAGGGAAGGAAGGAGGGAGGGAGGGAAGGAAGGAGGGAAGGATGGAAGGAAGGAAGGAGGTAGAGAAGGAAGTAAGGAAGGAAGGAGGGAAGGAGGGAAGGAAAGAAGGAAGGAAGGAGGGAAGGAGGGAGGGAAGGAAGGAAGGAGGTAGGGAAGGAAGGAAGGAAGCGAGGGAGGAAAGGAAGGAAAGAAGGAAGGAAGGAAGATGATGATGAGTAATGATTCATTATTCTTGACCCTGACCCGGAAACAAAAGTCCTGCCCTCCCAGCGCTGGTTTTCAGGCTGGTTTCCTGATTTCCTCTTCCTGTCCTCTCATCTGTTGAATTAGGTTCAACCACATCCGGGTCCTGACGCACGCTTCCTTCTCCGGTCTCGCGAGACTTCAGCTGCTGCTGCTGCTGCACGGAAACGAGATCGCAGACATCACCGAGGGCGCCCTGAGCGACCTGGGTGCACTGCAGGTGCGCAGGGAGTGGGCGGAATTGGAAGGAAGTGGAAGGACGTTTGGCAGGAAGTGGGGGTAGAAATACGCAGTGAAGTGGGACAAAGTAGGGGAGGAAGTGGGGTGGAAGTTTGAGGAAATAGATACGGAAGTGGGAGGAAGTAGGGCTGGAAGTGGGAAGGAATTTAGAGGAAGAAGGAAGTGGGAAAAGAGTAGGGAGGAAGGAGGGGGGAAATGCGGAAGACAGGCAGAAATGGGGATCAAATAGCAAAGGAAGTGGGGAGGAAGTAGGGAATCAATGGAGGAAGTAGAGACGGACATGGAAGGAAGTCGAGGCAGAAGGGAGGCGGAAGTGGGGCAGAAGTGAGATGGAAATGGATAAGGACCTGGGAAGAAATAGGGCCGGAAGTGACAGTAGAGCCTACCCTGAGGAGAAAGCCACAGGATCCCAGGCCTATGCTGAGGAGAAAGCCATTAAATCTGAGGGCTATGACATGAATGAAGCCATAGAATCTGAGGCCTACACTGAGAATGAAGCCATAGGATCTGAGGCCTACACTGAGAATGAAGCCATAGGATCTGAGGCCTACACTGAGAAAGCCAAAGGATCCAGTGCCTATGGCTCAGATGAAGCCACAAAATCTGAGACCTATGGTGATGAAAAAGCCATACAGTCCGAGGCCTATGCTGTGAATGAAGCCATAGAATCCGAGGCCTATGGTGCAAATGAAGCCATAGAATCCGAGGCCTTCACTGAGGAAAAAGCCATAGGATCTGAGGCCTACACTGAGGAGAAAGCCATAGGCCCCGCAGCCTACACTGAGGAGAAAGCCATAGGCCCCGCAGCCTACACCGTGTCTGAAGCCACAGGCCCCGCAGCCTTTGACACCTCTGAAGCCACAGGCCCGGCAGCCCCGTCTGCAGCCCCAGGCCCCGCGGCCTTTGACACCTCTGAAGCCACAGGCCCCGCGGCCTACACCAGCCTTGAAGCCACAGCCCCCACGGCCTCCGCCCCTTCTGAAGCCACAGCCCCCGCGGCCTATGCCCCGTCTGCAGCCCCGGGCCCTGTGGCCTACGGTGGCTTTGAGTCCGCCATGGCAGGCCGGGCGCAGCGCGTGTTCGTGGTGGCGTCGCGGGCGCCAGCAGCCACGGCTCTGACGCTGCCTGAGGGCGCCGCGCTGCGGCTGGGCTGCCGAGCGGAGGCGGAGCCGGCGGCGCGCGTGGGCTGGCTGCTGCCGGGCGGGCGCTGGGCCTGGGCGGGGACGGAGCTGGGGACGGACGGCGTCGGGGTCGGGGCGGACGGGACGCTGACGCTGCCCACGCTGGACCCAAGGCACGCCGGGCGCTATGTGTGTGTGGCTGCCAACGCGCTGGGGCTGGCGCGCTGGGACGCCGACGTCAGCGTGGGCGGGGCGGCGGGGGACAAGATGGCGGAAGCCAAGATGGAAGGCAACAAGATGGCGGAAAGCAAGATGGAGGGAATTAAGATGGTGGATTCCAAGATGGTGGACACCAAGATGGCGGAATCCAAAATGGAGGGAAGCAAGATGGCCGAAAACATGGCAGAATCTAACATGCCCGACCCCTACATGGCGGATTCCAAGATGGCCAAAAACAAGATGGAGGGAACCAAGATGGCGGAATCCAAGATGGAAGGAAACAAAATGGCGGAAGCCAAGATTGCAGAATCCAAGATGGAGGGAACTAAGATGGCGGAAGCCAAGATGGACGAAACGAAGATGGCAGATGCCAAGATGGCAGAATCAAACATGGAGAGAAGCAAGATGGAGGGAACCAAGATGGCCAAAAACATGGTGGAATCCAACATGGCCGACACCAACATGGCGGATTCCAAGATGGTGGACGCCAAGATGGCGGAATCCAAAATGGAGGGAAACAAGATCAGGGAAAGCAACATGGCAGAATCCAAGATGGAAGGAATCAAGATGGCGGAAAACAAGATGGAAGGAATAAAGATGGCCGAAAACAAGGTGGTGGAATCAAAGATGGAGGGAACCAACATGGCAGAATCCCAGATGGAGGAATCCAAGATGGAGGGAATTAAGATGGCGGATTCCAAGATGGTGAAGGCCAAGATGGCGGATTCAAAAATGGCGGATTCCAAGATGGCGGGCGCTGCTGCGGAAGCGGCCGCGGGGGCGTCGCGTGGCGCTGACGTCATTGTTGACGTGCCTAGCTCGGGCCTGGGCACCGGGGAAGCGCGGCTGTGGCGTCGGCGTCCTGCGGGCGGCCCGGGGCGCGGGCACCCTCCCGCCCCCCGCGCCGCCCCCGCCAGCCGCAGTTTCCGCAGTTTCGAGCCCGCCTTGCCGCGCCGCCCGCGCCCGCCAGTGGCTGCCGAGCACATCCGGCCTGAGCACTGGGCGCGAATCCTGGCGCGCGTGCGCGGCCGCGGCACGGGTGACTTCCGGGCCCTGTCTCCACGGAGACCTCCTCGCTTCCGGTGTCCACACTTCCGGTTTCTACACTTCCGGTTTCGATGCAAATATCCCCACTTCCGGTCTCTGTGTCTTCCGCCGACCCACTTCCGGTCTCCACTCAGACCTCACCACTTCCGGTCTCCACTCAGACCACCCCACTTCCGGTCTCCACACTGCCGGTTTCCACTAAAACATCACCACTTCCTGTCTTCACTACTTCCGCCTACCCACTTCCGCTCTCCCCGCAGACCTCCCCACTTCCAGTCTCCACTCGGACCCCTGTACTTCCTGCTTCCACACTTCCAGTTTCCACTCGAAAATTCCTACTTCCGGTCTCCACTCGGACCACCCCACTTCCGGCTTCCACACTTCCGGTTTTGTCTCGAACATCCCCACTTCTGGGCTCCACTCGCAGATCTACACTTCCGGTCTCCACAAGGAGATCCCCACTTCCGGTCTCCATTCGGACTACCCCACTTCCTGTCTCCCCACTTCCGGTTTCCACTCGGAAATCCACACTTCCGGCCTCCACTACTTCGGCCTACCCACTTCGGTTTTCGACTGAGAGATCCCCACTTCCGGCTTCCACACCTCTAGTTTCCCCACGGAACTCCCCACTTCCGGTCTCCAGTCGGACCACCCGACTTCCGGTCACCACTCAGAGATTCCCACTTCTGACTTCCACACTTCCGGTCTCCCTACGGACCTCTCCACTTCTGGTTTTGACACGGACATCCCCACTTCCGGCCTCCACCCCTCGAGCATCCGCTGCTCCGACCTCTGTACTTCCGTCCTCCTCACTTCCGGCCTCCTTACTTCCGGTCCCCAGGAGGCTCGGAGGTGGCCACAGGCGGGGGCGACAGCACAAAGCCCACCGCGCCCGGCCGGGCCCCACGGCGAACCCCCGTGACCCCGTGGTCACGACCCTGCACGGCCGTGCCCCGGATGCCCTCCTTTCCCGTCCTGCGGCTTCCCCCGATGGTGACCCCAGGACCTTTGACCCGCGACCCCCGGCCCTGCCCGCCGTGACCCCGCCCCGTGGCGCCTGGAACGAGCTGGACACGGGTGAGCCTCAGTTTACCCATCTGTCTCCTGCAGGCTCTTGGCTTGGGGGCGGGGGACTGAGGGGAGCCAGATAGGAGGTGGAGATTAGAGGTCACAGGGAGGATACAAGACGGTCAGAGGTCATGGGGAGGTTAGTGGTCACAGGGGGTCAGAGGTCACAGGGAAGTCAGGGGTCACAGTAGGGTCAGCGGTTGCAGAGAGGTCAGAGGTCATGGAGAGGTCACGGGGAGGTGAGAGGCCATGGGCAGGTGAGAAGTGGATGGGAAGTCAAAGGTCATGGGGAACTCAGGGGTCATGGAGAGGTCACGGGGAGGTCTTGGGTGGGTCACTGGGAGGTCAGAGGTCATGGGGAAGCCAGGAGTCACAGGAGGTCACAGGTCACATAGTCAGAGGTCATGGAGAGGTCACAGGGAGGTCAGGGGTCACTGGGAGGGCAGAGGGCATGGACAGGTCAGAGAGCATGGGGAGGGGAGGGGTGAAGTCCTTTACTCTGTCTGTCTGTTGTCTGTGTTCCTGGCCGTGTGGGGCACAGGATGACTGGGGAGACAAACACACACTTACGCACAGACAGACAGACATAGAGCAGACAGATAGAGGGACGGATGGATAGACAGACAGACAGACAGATAGGTGGATAGACGGATGAATGGACAGATAGAGCCATAGAGAGACAGACAGACAGATGGACAGAAGGACGGATAGACAGGTAGACAGACAGTAGACAGACGGACAGATAGACAGACAGATAGATAAACAAATGGACGGATAGACAGAGCCATAGACAGACAGACAGAGAGATACATGGACAGATGGATGGAGAGACAGACAGACATGGAAACATACATGGTTGGATGGATGGATAGATAGGTAGACAGCGTCTGTCTGTCTGAGTCTGTTTCTTCTCTGTCTCTGTGTCTACATGTCTGTCTCTTCTGTCTGTCTGTCTGTCCCTGTCTCTGTCTGTCTGTCCCTGTGTCCGTCTCTCCCTGTCACTGTCTCTACATCTGTCTGTATCCTCTGTCTGTCTGTCTGTCTGTCTCTGTCTTCCTGGCTCCATCTGTCTGTCTCGTCTGTCTCTCTCCATCTGTCACTTGTCTTTGTCTGTATCTGTCTGTCTCTTGTCTTTGTCTATCTGTCTCTGTGCATCTGTCTCTCCCTGTCTGTCTCTGTGTGTACATCTGTCTGTCCCTGTCTGTCTCTTGTCTCTTCTCTTTGTCTGTCTGTCTCTCTGTGTCTGTCTGTGCCAGTTTCTCTCACATCCATCTCTGTCTGTCTGTCTGTCTGTCTGTCTGTTCTGTCTCTGTCTGTCTGTGCCTGTGTCCGTCCGTCTCTTCCTGTCTCTGTGTCTATGTCTGTCTATCTGTCCTGGCTGAGTTTGTCTGTCTGTGACTGTGCCTGTCTGTCTTTGTCTCTTCTGTCTCTGTCCATCTGTCTCTTGTCTCTATGTCTGTCTGTCTATGCCTGTGTCTGTCTCTATCCGTTTCTCTTCCTGTGTGTCTCTGTGTGTACATCTGTCTGTCTGTCTGTCTGGGTCTCTTCTGTCTCAGTCTGTGTCTGTCTGTCTCTGTGTCTACATCTGTGTCCTCTGTCTGTCTGTCTGTCTGTCTCTGTCTTCCTGGCTCGTCTGTCTGTCTCTTCTGCCTCTCTCCATCTGTCACTTGTGTCTGTCTGTCTCTGTCTCATGTCTGTCTCTGTGTTGACGTCTGTCTGTCTGTCTGTATCTGACTCTTCTCTCTGTCGGTCTGTCTGCCCCTGCGTCTATCTGTTCTGTGTCTGTCCATCTGTCTCTATGTCTCTGTGTCTGCCTGTGTCTGTCTGTCTCCCTGTCTGTCTGTCTCTTATCTCTGTCTGTTTCTGTTCTGTCTCTGTCTGTCTCTTGTGTCTGTCTGTCTATTCTGTCTCTGTCTCTTCCTGTCTGTCTCAGTCTGTCTGTCTGTCCGTCTACCTCTGTCGGTCTCTCCCTGTCTCCATCTGTCTGTCTGTCTGTTCTGTCTGTCCATCTATCTCTCCCTGTCTGTATCTGTGTCTCCGTCTGGCTCTGTCTCTCATCTCTGTGTCTGTCTCTTGTCTGTCCATCAGTCTCATGTCTGTCAGTCTGTGTCTGTTCCCTCTGTCCGTCTGTCTCTGTGTATCCATCTGTCTGTCTGTCTCATGTCTTTGTCTCTGTGTGTATGTCTGTCTGTCTGTGTCTCTTCTGTCTCTTGTCTGTCCATTGGCTCTCATGTCTCTGTCTCTCTGTGTCTGTCTGTCTCTTCTCAGTCTGTCTCTCTGTGCCTGTGTCGGTTTCTTCTGTCTCAGTCTGTCTGTCTGTCCCCGTCTGTCTTCCTGTCTGTGTCTGTTTGTCTCTTTTCTCTTCTGTCTGTACCTGTCTGTCTTTTGTCTCTGTCTGTCTGACTCTTGTCTCTGACCATCTGTCACTTGTCTCTATCTGTGTCTGTTTGTCCATCTGTCTCCTCTGTGTCTGCCCATCTGTCTGTCTGTGTCTGCGTCTGTCTGTTTCTTCTCTATCTCTGTGTCTACATGTCTGTCTCTGACTGTCTGTCTCTTCTTGTCTGTCTCTGTGTCTACATCTGTGTCCTCTGTCTGTCTGTCTGTCTGAGTCTGTTTCTTCTCTATCTCTGTGTCTACATGTCTGTCTCTGTCTGTCTGTCTCTTCCTGTCTGTCTCTGTGTCTACATCTGTCTGTGTCCTCTGTCTGTCTCATCTGTCTCTCTCCATCTGTCACTTGTCTCTCTCTGTCTGTCCGTCTCTCTGTGCCTGTGTCTGTCTGTTCTCTTTGTCTGTCTGTCTCGGTGCATCTGTCTCTCCCTGTATGTCTCTTTGTGCACATCTGTTTGTCTGTCTGTCTTTTGTCTCTTCTCTTTGTCTGTCTCTCTGTCTGTCTGTACCTGTGTCTGTCTGTCTCTTCCTGTCTCTGTGTCTCTGTCTGTCTATCTGTCCTGGCTCAGTTTGTCTGTCTGTGCCTGTCTGTCTCTTCTGATTCTGTCTAACTGTCTCCATCTGTCTGTCAGTCGTGTCTGTGTCTCTGGCTCATGTCTGTCTGTGTCTCTCTGTCTGTGTCTCTTCTGTCTCTGTCCATCTGTCTGTCTCTGTGTCTCTGTCTGTGTGTGTTCTGTGTGTCTCCGTCTGTCTGTCTGTACATCTTCGTCTGTGTGTCTCTCTCTCTCATGTCTGTGTCTGTCTTTCCATCTCTGTAACTACATCTGTCTGTCTCTTCTGTTGTCTGTCTGTCTGTTCTATCTCTGTCTCTTCCTGTATATCTCTGTATTCATATGTCTGTCTCTTGTGTCTGTCTGTCCATCTGTGCCTGTTTCTGTCACATCCGCCTCTGTCTGTCTGTCTGTTCTGTCTGTGTCTGTCTTCCTGTCTCTGTCCATCTGTCTTTTCTCTGTCTCTGTCTCTCTGTCTTTGTCTGTGTCTGTCTGTCTCTATCCATCTGTCTCTCCCTATCTGTCTGTCTGTCTGTCTATCTCTGTTGGTCTCCCCCTGTCTCCATGTCTCCCTCTGTCTGTCTCTGTCTGTCTGCCTCTCTGTCTCTGTCTGTTATCTGTCCATTGGTCTCTCTGTCTGTCTGTCTCTGTCTTCTTGGTTCTGTCTCTTCTGCCTCTCTCCATCTGTCACTTGTCTCTGTCTCTGTCTGTCTGTCTGTCTCTGTCTCATGTCTGTCTGTATGTTGATGTCTGTCTGTCTGTCTCAGTCTGTGTCTGACTCTTCTGTCAGTCAGTCTGCCCCTGTGTCTATCTGTTCTGTGTCTGTCCATCTGTCTCTCTGTCTGTCTCTGAGTCTGTCTGTCTCTTATCTCTGTCTGTCTGTCTGTGTCTGTTCTGTCTCTTGTGTCTGCCTGTCCTGTCTCTGTCTCTTCCTGTCAGTCTCTGTGTTCACATCTGTGTCTCAGTCTGTCTGTCTGTCTACCTCTGTCGGTCTCTCCCTGTCTCCATCTGTCTGTCTGTCAGTCTGTTCTGTCTCTGTTTGTCTCTGTCTGTGTCCGTGTCTCTGTCTGCCTCTGTCTCTTATCTCTGTGTCTGTCTCTTGTCTCTGTCTGTCTCTCTGTGCTTGTGTCTATCTCTGTCTGTTGCTGTCTCTCCATGTCTGTTCATCTCCCTTCCTGTCTCTGTGTCTACAGCTGTCTGTCTGTTTCTTGTCTCTGTCTGTCTCTTCTACCTCTCTCCATCTGTCACTTCTCTCTCTTTTCTGTCTGTCTGTCTCTCTGTGTCTGTCTGTGCCAGTTTCTCTCATGTCCATCTCTGTCTGTCTGTGCCTGTGTCTGTCTGTCTCTTCCTGTCTCTGTGTCTCTGTCTATCTGTCCTGGCTCAGTTTGTCTGTCTGTGCCTGTCTGTCTCTTCTGTTTCTGTCCATCTGTCTTTCCCTGTCTGTCTGTCTGTGTCTCTGTGTCTCTGTCTGTGTGTCTCTGTCTGTCCTGTCTCTGTCTGTCTCTCCCTGTCTGTCTGCACATCTTCGTCTGTCTGTGTGTGTCTCTCTCTGTCTGTCCGTCTCTGTGTCTACATCTGTCTGTGTGTCTCTTCTGTCTGTCT